TGTGTGTGTGTGGCCAGCTCAGCCCACCAGGGGGCGGGGCTGGCTGGCATGTGGTGCTGGGGGGTTGAACTGCGGTCCCTTGTGCTTTGCTAAGCTTGTTCTAAGTAGGTGCTTTAGACCACTGAGCCATCTCCCCAGCCCATGGAGGCCTTTGTTCTGCAGAACCCATGTTCATGCTCACGCTCACACCCTGAGGCCTTGCATGAACACCACCATGTGGTGTTCTGAATAAGACGACAAGTGCTGGGCTGGGGAGATGGCTCAGTGTCTAAAGCACCTACTTAGAACAAGCTTAGCAAAACACAGAGACCACGGTTTAATTCCCCAGCACCACATGCCAGCCAGCCCCGCCCCCTGGTGGGCTGAGCTGGTCACACACACACACACACACACACACACACACACACAAATAAAATATAAACAAAAAAACGACAAGCGCTGCATTTAATTCTAGTAAGGCAAGAGAAGAATGAAGGAGTATAAATATAAGATGTTTTCTTGGCTAAAGGTAGCCTGAGTGAAAATTCTAGGGCTTTAATTAGGACACTGTCTTCATATCAGAGTGATGACTTAGGGCAAAGAACTTTTTAAAAAAAAATTTTTTTTTGTGTGTGTGTTGTCTCCCTTTATTTACCTGAAAGAGTGAGTCAGAAAGGTACAGTAGCTATAGTAAAAGGCAAAGAAGCTGCTGAAAAGGGATAAACAGTTGGGATGAGGGAAAAGGGAAAACATACACAGGATAGCTAAGATCATTGCACTACTAATTTCTGTTGGTTTTTGAAAGCAACAGTTTATGCTTAAAATATTTTATTTTGACCAATTTGACATGATTATATCTAGTAATGTGAGCAACTACATTAAAGACAACAAAGTACAATATAACAGTCATTGTTGGTGCTGGGGAGATGGCTCAGTAGGATAAGCGCTTGACTGGCAAACGAAAGGATCTGAGTTCAATCCCCGGTTCCGCCAAAAAAAAAACAAAACAAAACAACAAAAAAAAAAACCCAATCATTGTTGAATACCTATCATCTTTTTTGGGTTTTTTATTCTGTAATTCTAGTGTCTTATCTTTTTTTAATTCTCTGTAAAATAAAAAAATTGGCGTGCTGAGACAGCAAATGAAACTGGGCATGGTGGTATGCGCCTGTAATCCCAGCTCTTGGGAGGTTATAAACAGGTGGATCACTACAAGTCTGATCTAGTAGTGAGACCCTGAACACCCTGTAGACCCTTCCCTAAAAATACAAAGAAAATAAATAAAAATAAGCCAGGTTTGGCAGCATATGCCTGTGATCCCAGTATTTGGGAGTTTGAAGCAGGAAGATCACCATGGGTTCAATGCCAGCCTGGGCTACCTACTTAATTTTTTTTTTTTTTTGCGGAGCCTGGGATTGAACTCAGGTTCTTGCGCTTGTGAGGGAAGTGCTTATTCCACTGAGCCATCTCCCCAGCCCCTACCTACTTAAAAGTTGAATTTAAAAACAGCCTTAGTGGACTGGAGCTGGGGCTGAGCGGTAGAGTTCCTGTCTTGTAGGCACAAGGCCCTGGGTTCAATCCCCAGCACCACTACCACCAAAAAAAAAAAAAAAAAAAAAACCCTACATAAAAAACCCTTTTTTAAAACAACAAAGACAAGTAAAGTGTTTTTTGGTGTTTTTTTTTTTTTTTGTTTGTTTTGTTTTTTTTACTAGAAAAAACTACTATCTCATAAAGAGGCATCTAACAATATAGAGTTTTCAATCCTTGCTCCAAGCTAGTTTTAATGATTTTCCTGGGGAATCCATATTCTTCATTTCTCAAAAATACTACTATCGGGCCATCAAGATAGCTCAGTAGACTAAAGCACCTGCTTAGGCAAGCACAGGGACTGCTGCTCAATCCCCATCACTACATGCCTTGCCAGCCCCACCGTAGACGTGGTGGCACATGCCTATACTCCCAGCGCTGGGGAGGCTGAAAACAGGAGGATCACTATTGAGTCCCAGCTGTGTAGTGAGACCCTGTAACAGCCAAATACATTTAAAAAAAAGAAAAAACTATCAACAATGTAATATATTTCTCCATCCTTTTATTTTTCTGTATTATATATGCTATCTTACATAAAATTTTATACATAATGTTCTATAACTTTTTAAATATACAGAAAATTACAAGCTAGTTCATCTTAAAAGCACTACTAAGTGTTGAAGGGCAGACCTTTAATGGATGAGTGCTATTGGAGATGGAAGACAGTATGTCTGAGCAAACTAAAATACTACCTCAATACATCATTTTTAGGGCCAGCGGATAGCTCAGTGGCACAAGCACCTG